CTTACTTATCAACACCATTTAAATCCCTATTGATTCTACTATAATTCATGGCACATGTTTGTGTCTATTAATACCTTGATTTTTTGTTTACCATTGGCTTTGACTACAATATATTATTTAAAACATAATGAACATTAATTTTCTATGACCCCAAAGTGCGGTCGTTTGCCTGATGTTAAAAAATGCATATGTACCTGTGTAACGCACTTTGGGGTCGAAATTGGACCCCAAAGTGCGTAACGCACTCTGGGGTCGGACCCCAAAGTACGTAACGCACTTTGGGGTCGGACCCCAAAGTGCGTTTGACCCCAAAGTGCGGTGTTACAAAGCACTGTTATTTTAATGCAGACAATTTTATTCGGTCGCGTAATGTACCGTTATATATTGAACAGAAAGATTGTCCGTGTCAGTGTAGATGAAGTGCCGAAAACTAAATAATAAGAGTGCTGATTGTTTAAACATTGTTGCTGACTTTATCATTGATGGTAATCCATATTTGTGTTCTAATTTCAAGTAAATCTTATATACTAGTATTCATAAGTCCATATTTGTGTTCTAAGTTCAAGTAAATCTTATATACTAGTATTTATAAGTCCATATTTGTGTTCTAATTTCAAGTAAATCTTATATACTAGTATTTATAAGTCCATATTTGTGTTCTAATGTCAAGTAAATCTTATATACTAGTATTTATAAGTCCATATTTGTGTTCTAATTTCAAGTAATCTTATACACTAGTATTTATAAGTCCATATTTGTGTTATAATTTCAAGTAAATCTTATATACAGAAGCAAGGTGTAAAGTGATAATTGAAAGGTGATGCCGAAAATCCTTCAAATTACCGTGGTGTCACGTTAGCACATTGTATGACAAAAATAGGTTCCCTGGTACAATATTATACCTTAAATAAATAGTGTTAATAAGAACAAATCTTTGACGATGAACAGGTTGGTTTTAGAGATTATAAAAAAACGGGTTGATTCTGTTTTTACTGATTGGGAGGTTCAAATAAACGCATGCAAACAATAACACAACATAGTTTCTATTACCTACCTGCGCAAAAAGTCGTGAAGCGCTCTATATTCGTCTGTTTCGAACGAAATCTTCAAATCAGAGAGAAATCTGCGTCGGCAAATACATGTTGGAAATTCTGGTCATGGTGTATGGAAACCTTTCATTGGTTGTCGTTATAAACAAAGTTCCTACCGAACCAATGAAAGGTCTCGATACACCGGCTGGTCACGTGAACGGGGTTTCCCCAAGATGTCTACGTCGAAGCAGATTTCTGCTCTGATTTGAAGATTTCGTATGAAACAGACGAATATAGAGCGCTTCACGACTTTTTGCGCAGGTAGGTAATAGAAACTATGTTGTGTTATTGTTTGCATGCGTTTATTTGAACCTCCCCCTTTTAAAATTGATATTTTACCCGTGGAATTTGGTGTTGCGACATCTCGTACGACTAAGCAATTTTGTGACAGAAGTGAACGGTTTTGAATAAATTTCTTAAAATGGGCTAAGGGAATCAGAATAGAGTTAGTGTTTATCATTTGTGGATTATATATAGAGCTATGCAACCGCAGTATAGTTTTTTGGAATTTTTTTTTATTTAATTAGTGGAAATCTCGCATGAATTTGAGGGTGATCGAAAATTTCTCTATTTAGCGAGTAAATGCCCCTTGTCTATATTTATATACATATTTTAAGGTCACTATTCAAGCAGTATAATACCATCCAAACACTGTGTGGGCCCCCTGTGGCACTAACCACAAGGGGACAAAGACGCTGACGTGTTCTAGATTTTGTCAGTAAATATATATTTATTTAAAAAGGCCAGCAATGTATTGATGATTAAATTCCAAATTTATCTCTTTTCTTTTTTCATGTTTTTTTGCTATAAATATTTATAATCAGATATCATCACATTCAAACTCATAACAAAGATCCTCAACAAAATACTATTTATAATAGTTATATAATAATAGAGTGATTCGTGTTGTTAGTGATAAGTTAATTCTGTATCTCTGTAATTTCATCATCTCGAGAACCTTGATTCAATGATATGTTACATATTTTATATTGTTAATTGTAATGTGGATACAAATATAATATATTTTGATTATTCTAAGGTTCCCTTGGCATTCGCATACATTTAATCTATGATTAATTAAATAAATACATTGATTATTTCAAAGCTAGTAATACCAGTTAATCATTCATCAATCAGCCTGAGGGTTCATTTCAAGCTAACGTCCTCTTTATAACTTTGTCAGGTCATTCCTAATAGATACTAAACGGTCAATATCATAGAATAAACGACTTTTGGGAAATATAATTTAGTTTACTATTGATTCAGCGTAAATCCATTATTTTCATTTATAACAGCGATATGGATTTGATTTAACTTAAAATATAGTAAAATTTGTTCAGACTATTTCTCCTACTTTACTTAATCCAGCGTAGGGTCGCGAGATCAGAAATCTCCTGTATCCCCACCCCCAAAGCTCTTACACCCAATAATTATTTTCCGGTATGACAGTATATAATTTGTTTCATAACTTTATAAAGTCTGCGGTTTTAACGAACTCACCGTTGGTGAACATACCACATTATCTGGTAATCTATTCCATCATGGTACTACTCTTAATGAAAAGAAATATTTTCTATTTTCCTTTACACATGATTTTATTTTCAACCTAATAGAATTACCTCTGATGTGATGATTATCAATAACGTTACTTTCCCTGAGGATTTAATACAGTCGAAATATACGGTGGCCTGTTTGGCCCAGTTAAAGGACTCCTATTGACATTTTTTTAAAGTCTTGCCCTGCCTTTCTGTATTTTTTATAGCTAAAGTAGCAAGATTTTACATTCCCGCAAGAAACTTTTCGCGCCAGTTAACATTGAATTTGTCTCATGATTATACCTTCTCATAAATTAATCCTCGTGCGAATCAAAATCTAATAATCTTCGCGATGATTAACCTAAATTTTCGCATGTTTCTTTCGAGAACTGTAACTTATTTACAATACAAGTGTCTATGGTGAAAGTTCTTCGAGAGAGAATGTTAAATCTCGCTACTTATCTATTAACAAGAGCCAGTTCGCTCGACTATTCTCGATGCTTGATAGTCAAACAAGAGCCTGAATAATGTAGAACTTTTTAAGTTCAAAGGGGCGAACATTCTGTCCAAATTCACATTAACAACAGCTTGCCCTATTTTTCGAATAGTCGAGCGTAAACAAGAGAGTTGGTAAATCTAAAATTGTAACAGGCGATATGTTAACTGTCTCAAACAGAACACCATTTAAACTGACGGAAAATTGTAGCGAACTTGATAGTGCAACTCATGGGCATCGATAAATGAATCAAATCAATCGGATGGCCATTTCCAGAAACAAAGTCATATTGACAAAACTAACAGTTGTTCGTTGGAAGATGCTAAAACTCTATCTGTTTTGTATGGGTCTAAAACGTTATCCATATAACATTGACACAAAACATGTTCAGAGACGGTTACAGTGTTGAATGACATAATTGATCTCCCTGATGAAGGCAGCCATTTTAACATTGTTTATCATGAATAAAAGTGAATTCTGTGCGATTTAATAAGTGCACGAAAATTCCGTGCATGTGCAATTTAACTACACCTTTCAATACCCAAAACTTAGAGGCCATGTACATATTTTTTATAGTTTAATGTTTTCAATGTAAATAAACATCTAATTTCAATTTGATATATTTATAATAAAATGTGTTTATTAATTTATCTGTTCTTTTGTTCTTTACAATTAAACGTCGTATAAGTCAGATACAGTTACTCGTATTTTCTTCAAAATTGTCTTCTTAGACAGTTCGCTAGCTAGGACAAACAACAATTTGTTATTTTATTTGTAACAATAATTCGCTTTTTCGTTTTTACATAAATGCATTGACGTTAAAAAATAGATATCAGGCTCTACAGTTAAATTGTACGTAACAAAACAGAGATATCATTTGTTTTAAATATACATATGTAAAATTTAAATTTCGTTTCACAATTGAAAACCTTTTTAGATTTAACGTTTCAAACATAAAGCAAAAAAAATATTTCCATTGTTTGTTGAGACTTTGCTTTACTTTTCAAATGTGTTATTATTAATGAGGTTTAGATGTTGTCCACGAATTCATTAATATTATCAAGGTACACGATAGTCTTTCAGTTATTCAAAGTGAAAATCTTCTTTTTGTCATTGATTTGAAGGATGAACAGTTTCCTTTTTAACGTGACTCATGATTATATGATTACTCTCGCCGACTTTATTAAATGTATTTTATTAAGCACTTACGTTGCATCAAGACTTGACATTATATGTAGGCTTTATATGTTCCTCCCAATAGATCTAGTTGTACACTTATATAGTTCTTAGAGACAATTAAGACATACTCGGTATAAGCTCTATAATTGATACTTATTCACTCATACGGGAAGCGTATCAGTGCATCTCGACGTATATCGGTGTAAGATTTCGATTTTTATGCTCTCATTAGGTGCCGAGAATACTGTATATGTATATCGCGACTCTTGATGATGTAGTAATTTCTCTCTGTTTGGTCAATTCTCAAGTTATCTTAAATTATCTCAACTGTTACAAATGATGATCAGCGCAGAGGTCTGTTTAGCATTGCGAGCATTGACATATTTTGTTATACGAATTGTGCTTGAGTAACTTATGCTCTGTTTACAGCTCTGTGTTTTCGTACTATAAAATAGTCACCTCGTTTAGATCTTACTTGTTTATTTCACACAACTATTGCTAAAAGTCTTTAGAGTTTATAAGTGACAGTAAAGACGTTACTGCTTATCTGTGAGACATTTATACGATAAGTCTCATTTCCATATTGCAAGAAAGAACAATTATCTCAAACAGATATAGCAATTTAGATTTTCCAAGTTAGGAAAATAAAATTGAAGAATGAATTTCTAGAGTAATATTAAGTAATTAGATACACAGTGATATTTTGGTGTCAAACGCAGATGACAAGTAGTAGGATGATATGACCTGATAAATGACTTTTATTGTTTCACTAGATTACAATACGAACGTTATTTATTTCCATTAAGAGAACAATGACTAGTTTTAAATTTATCATATAATACAATACAAAATAAGCACGCTTAAAGCGCGATGTCTTATGAAACATTAACATTTTATTTTTTTTGACCTAACGATTCACATTTGCATTGACTTTTTCAAAAACGCATTTAAATTTAGTTCGTTTTTTTTTTTTTTTTTTTTTTAAATGTTAAATTGTTTGATTTAACCCCGTGCTTTCATCTACGGTGACAATGCTTTTCAATGCTTTTCTGATCTGCCTTTATGACCAGAAATTAAAAAAGAGAAGTAAAGAATCTCTATAGAACGCACAAAACGACAAAATTGAAAATGTTGCAGGGTCGGTTTGATTGAGCTTGTTGGAAAGTGCAAGTCACTGTCAACGCCCGCTTATATACCGGTTTAAGCAGTATTCAACATTTGGATATTTAGGAAGTATCATTATGCGTACGGTCCATGGCATCATTGCATACCAACATCAACTATAAATCAACCGAATGACATAAGGTCTCAAAGTTGATTGCGTTTGTTGGTTGGTTTTGCGGCGCACAAACACAGTTCTAGTGAATAATGTTTTCAAAATAAAGCTCAATATATGTTCGTGAAGTATAAGGCAGTATTAAACAATGCCGTGAAACAGTGAAAAATGTACACTTATCTGGTTTATTTGTTTAGAAAAAAGATATTTAATTGTGTTATTCTGTTGATGATATCACAATGAATGATTCAGTGAGGTAAAGCTACATTAAATAAATATGTAAAAATAGTTTTGCCGTCGGCCTTAAAACCAAGCATTCTACAGATTCATTAACCTGTTGAATAGTATTGTTGTAAATTTCATCAAATATTGTTCATAAATTAGGATTATAAACGAAAACCCCACGGTAACACTAAAGTTCGTATACGAATTTTAACATGCAAATGAAGATTATAATAAGCTTGTGTAAGCGCTACGTCACAGTGGTATAGGTGCTATCCGGAACACAACAAATATGAGATTTTCTTGTGCAAACACATGTTAACCGTTAAACTTCACGGTGCACGAGGCCTGATGTTCAGTAAAAAGCAATCATCTCATAAAAAGTTTAAATTTGTATGAAAACATCCGTTACAATGCAGAAATTTACCGTTAAATTAGGACTGCTACTTATAGTCATGTTTGTTGATTTAACATTGATGTACGGATGATCTGAAGGCGGAGTTTCTCATGCAAAGAGATATTGTACTTCTGATTTCGCCAGAATGAGGTTGCCATTTTTTATGCTTATAAAGCTCATTTTGGTTGTCAGGACACCATAATAAAATCTGGAGTCGATATAAAACCCAATTAATAAATGAAATGTCGCTATTTCTGTTTATATGAAATTTATTAAATGAGCTGTGTCACAACAAAACCAACATAGAGCGCTTGCGACCAGCATGGATCCAGACCAGCCTGCGCATCCGCGCAGTCTGATCAGGATCCATGCTGTTAACTATCAGTTTGTCTACTTGTTATAGGCTTGTAAGCGAACAGCATGGATCCTGATCAGACTGCGCGGATGCGCAGACTGGTCTGGATCTATGCTGGTTGCAAACGCATTATGTTGGTTTTGTCACGACGCGGCTAAAATGAAACTTAAGGGTGAGCATCATAACATTATGTAAACATTTTGTATAACAATTTCATATACACTTTATTAATCATGGCATACAAATTAACATACAATTCATTTTTGCCATAGCTTTATCAATTGAACTTGTGAATTATATGTTTTGAAAAACGATACGTATCTATTCATATGATATTTGCATCCAACATACCATAAACAAAATGTTTTACTTTATTTCTTATTTTCTGTCAAACGTAGTTGATTTTGACCGGTCATGATGCAAATAAATACTTCATTTATAATAAAATATATAGCCAGGTAGAATGGTTTTACGGTACACTAACACAGTTCTAGAGAATAGCGTTTTCAAAATAAAGCTTTTTAGAAAATTAGACAGAATAAATTATGACGTGAAACAAGCGAAAACATATGCTTCCATTTAAAATTTAGATTCCAACGCTTCATTTCTCTGGTAAACTATCTTAAAAAGTATGAAATTGTATGCGTAAATAAAATCTAATACCGGTATACAATAAAATGTTGTCCTTGTTAATTTGTAAAATTTCATATTAAATTTGCATCCATAATAACATAAACAAAGTGTTTTACACTTTAAAATAAGCATGTATGTTTGCCATACTTTTGGTGATCTTTCCACTTTCTATCATTGTCAATTTTAACCTACACTAGCATTGTCCAGAGAGCATAAATCATAATGCAATTTGTAACAATGAATAATGTCTTATAAAAAATAGGCTTAATGCAGTGCTAGGGAGTCATTGTTGTGTATAGGTAACGATCGATCGGTTATAAGGTCGATGTGCGAGAAAAAAGAAAAGAAAAAAAGAAGCTCAATTGAACGCACAAAACGACCATATTGAAGATGTTACAGGCTCGGTTTGATTGAGTTTATTAGAAGTGCAAGTTACTGTCAACGTCCCTTTATACTGGTTAAAGCAGTATTCAACATTTAGATATTAAGGAAGTATCATTATACGTACTGTCCAGGGCATCCCTGTATGCCAACATCAACTATAAATCAACTGAATGACACAAGGTCTCAAAGTCGATTGTGTTTGTTTGGTTGGTTTCACGGCACACCGACATAGTTCTAGTGAAACACGTTTTTAAAATGAAGCTTAATGTATGTTCATAAGTTTAGGACAGTATTAAACGATTCCGTGAAACAATGAAAAAAGTACACTTCAATTTCTTATTAAATTGCATTAAATAATTAACCTTGTTAATTTGTTAAGAAACAAGAACGTGTTTGTTAAACACAAATGCCCCCGGCTCAGATTCTTGTCAGTAGCAATACTTCAAAATATGCTTACCCATTCACTCAGTTATGGACGGAAAAATCGCCAAAAAATTGTAAACACAAGTTTTATAGCTTGACAAAGTCATGGCATTTTGTAATTGTGAAAAATATAAGTTGCCAAGTCATTGCTCTGACTTGTGATGTTGAAAAATATTCAACTTCATGCAAGTTATCTTCCTACCAAATATGAAATACAACTGTCATTAAATAAAGGCTGTATGGGCAAAAGTGTATAAATCTATTTTGAGCACTGGTGACCTTGACCAAACCGACCCCTAACTCTATCCAAAAGAAGAATACCATGTAAGTTATCTTTCTACCAAATTTGAAATACATCTGTCAATAAATAAAGGCTGTATGGGCAAAAGTGTAAAAATCTATTTTTAGCACTTGTGACCTTGACCCAACTGACCCCTTACTCCATCCAAAGGAAGAATACCATGCAAGTTATCTTCCTACCAAATATGAAATACAACTGTCAATAAATAAAAGCTGTATGGGCAAAAGTGTAAAAATCTATTTTTAGCACAACTTACTAGAATTTGACAATTGTGGAATTTCATTAAACAATGGAGAAAAAAATCACTTGCATGGATCCATATTTTGGCCCCTAAACTCCTTGCAAAATTAAATTAACTGGTTAGTTACTACTTGCAATTGTATAGTTAAATATATATTTTTTATTGCCAATTACGTCACATATGCGCTAAGCAGACTAAGCCCTGATGTTATTGGGAAGAATTTCGATTCCTAAAATTTGGCAAATGACACACAGATTAGTCTAGTAACACTTGTGAAAGGGCAGGCTGACTTGACCTGGTAAATACAGGCTGGCTGGACTGCTTAAATTAAGGTTGACTTCAGCATTTTCATGAATTACAGATTGGCGATCACTATCATTTGTTGAAATGTTAAAATCAGTTGTATTTTAAGCTTGTAGATCAAAATATCCCCCTTGACACTTAGCCAAATAAATTGGTTTATTTTCGTTGGCACATCTGTTGCCTCACATGAAAATGAAAACCCTGGCTGACTTGACTGCATAAGTGCAGGCTGGTGTCACCACTGACTCGACCTCTGACTTGACCTCAGATTTGACCTCTGACTTGATTTGACCTCTGACTTGACCTCTATACAAAAGAAACTGATCGTAGGAAGAAGCTGTTAGAAAGATTTGCTATGGTAACATTGTTCTTCTTAACAAAAATTTACGTATTACCATCAGGGTCTGCAAAAAAGGAATAACCCGGAGATGGAGGTATGTACTGTTGTGAGTTGAATGAGTTGAATATAAAAATTATGAACTGCGCCATGGCAAAACCAACGTAATGCGCTTGTAACCAGCATTGATCCAGACCAACAGCCCAATATACCTCTATTACGTTACGCCGACTTCGGCAAAGTATTGAAGCAGGTGTTCCCGAATATAAGCACAAGACGCCAGAGGGGCCAGTCTAAATATCCTTTAACTTGTATGATGCGAGATTTTTTATAAAGAACGTGTTTCTTTTTACCTCACCTGGTACAAAGTGACAGAGTAAGCGTTTGTGATCGCATTTCGTGCGGCGTCCGTCCGGCCCTGGGGTCAAGATTTGCCCTGGGATCTTTGATTTTCTTTGTATGCATATAGTGCATATAGTGAATATGAAATAATTTTTTTTATAAAAACCCAAATACTCCGACTCAGGTGAGCGATTTTAAGCCATCATGGCCCTTTTGTTTATTTTTATAAACCCTTCATTTTTTTTATTTCTGACTATTTTTTTCCTTAACAAAAAACCTAAAGTGATTATTTATATTAAGGCGGACTTTATCATATTTTATCTTCGTATGGCTATTTCTTGCTCATGTATCAATATTGGCATTCATTACATGTACAATCATGTTGGAAAAGGCGTAAAACATATATGTTCAAAACATTTCTATCATCCATATTTTCCCACATTTACAGAGTTGCGAGCTTCTGTACACTGTGTATCATACAAATCCAAAATCATTATGATCGGGCACTTGATAAATTAAACCTGTTGTCTAAGATTTATTAACTCATGTTATAACCTTTAAGTTATACTAACCGATATATTACGTTTAATAATCTTTTGTTAGCAATTTTAATGTTCGGTGCGGTGTGGCCAGTTATGTGCCGTTAAACCCAAACAAGATTTAAAATGTAGCAATGTTTGCCCGTGGGCTATAATATTCTACTGTAAACGAAATAAATATGACCATACAGTAACGGTCTATGCATAATCGCCACTCTAGCAACCTTTTTCTGATACTGCCCAATGCACACATAAGAAATGTTACGCTTTTTTGGTCAATATAAAAATCTGGAAACAAAGTGATAACTCCTGTTTAATTTGGTTTTACGGCCTACCAACACAGCCCAAGCCATGACTCGTGCAATACACCCGGGCTAATGCATTGTACAATGACAGTTGACCATTACTTAATACTCAATTTTAATCATATGAAATATGATAAACAAGATCAACAAGGAAAGGCGGCGTTCAATGAACGCAACCCCCATATGACCCAGCAACAAGAACCAACGGCAAGTAGCCCAGGCGGACCCCGAACAAAAACAGGACAGGGCAAAGACAGAGCACGGACAGGTTAATCATTAAATGATAAATAATTTGGAACTGATTAGGAATTCAAAGAAAATAATAATAGGCCCACAAAGAGGAAGGGGATAGGAGACCGGGGAAAGGGGGTGCAATTAAAGAAATAAATACTAGAGGCAATGGAGAAGATACTTACCGTAGACGAGAAAACAACAAGGGACACAAGCAAAAGTGTCACCAAAACAGTATGAAACAACATGGACATACATCTGAGGAACACAGTGAGGCGCCGCCTTGGAACGGTCAGCAGCAGAATAATGACTGCTGGGGAGTTTAAACCGGTTAATGGTGCACCAAACCTCGCTCTTAGCCCCACCATGTTCCTATAAACGAGACAGTGTAAATAAAATGAATCCCCGCCAAGTGAAATTCTAACAGTTGTCATGGTTACGAAAGGTTAAATAAGTAAAACACTAAAATGATCATGTAGAAACATATGAAAGTAAACCCAATGACATAACAAAAGTACTCAATGTCCTAAAGGAAGAAGACAGAGCAACAAGAAAATCACCTACAAAACGGTTTTTCTTAGAACTTTATTAGATATATGTATCAGTTTCTCCGTTTCTTTTCATATTATAGTTAATATTGTTGATAACTACACAATGTTAGAAAAATACTGACACTTACATATTGTTATGACTGCATTACTTATTGCCGTATATACCGTTATTAAAATATTGAATTTGGTTGGGTTTTACGGCGGACAAACACAGTATAGGTCATGGTGACTCCCACGATTTACTGGCGGAGACAGACATAAGATACCTTTCGATGCCTTGACTCGGGCAAATGTTTTCAACACAAGTGAACAACAGAAACGTAAACATGTGATATTTACTGTTTATTTGTAAATATAGTATAAACAATGACGTAACCAGATAAAATGCAAAAAAGGAGAGAAAATGAAACCATCTAAATTCTTTTTTGTGGAAAATATATAAGCGAATAAGATTACACTCCTTTGTATAATTTATAGTTAATATATAAATTATGAACAAGGCAAGTATTGTTTTCAACATTTTCAATTTTGCCGTGTTGGGCTTTCTTTAGGGATTCTGTATTTATCTATTTTGTTTTCAATGTTATGCATTTACGGTCGTTACGAACATTCCGGCGCCAAATCTTCAGCATTTGTTTATCACTGCCAGTGTACTAAACATTTACAAATTGAGATTAAGCCAAGTAGAAAAATAAAGATATATATGTAGTAAATATTGTGTACAAAAGGTGACATTTCCGGAGCAGGGAGAAAAATACTATTGCCCATTCGGTTTGATTTAGTTTGTTTATGAGAGATTAACAGAGTTTGGTTTTACGGCGCACCAACATAATTAAGGTCAAATATATAAATAAAGATAATTTGGCTACTCTCGGGTGTTATAAACGTACCTCCACACAAGGGGGTTCCACTAAATTGACCACATCTAGTCGCCTCTGATGATCACGCACGCTAACAATAGCTGAAATACTTATACCTCAACCTGCTTGCACAAAGCTAAACATCGGTTTGGTGTGTGCGTCCGTCCAGTTATTCTTGTGAGGGATATAACTTTACTATAATTAAATGTTGAATTCTAGCCAAGCCGGTGCTAGGGCGTGGACGCTAAATTGCACTTTCTAATACCGTCCATGAACTGTCTCAATCAAACCGAGCCTGCAAACATTATCAATTTTGTTTATTACTATCTATTTTGTAATAAGAAGGCAAAATTAAAAAAAAAATGTAACTTAATATGTTCACAATAACGAGAAGGCGTGTCATTCGAAAGAACGGTGTTGCTAGGTAAAGGTCGTACGTTACGGTCAATTGCAAAAGATCCTCTAACAGCTTGTCTGCACCAAATAAAATATGATAAACAAGATCGACAAGGAAAGGCGGCGTTCAATGAACGCAGCCCTCACCCGACCCAGTAACAAGCGTCAGTGGCAAGGAGCCCAGGAGGACCCCAAACAAAAAAAGGACAGGGCATAAGGCAGAGCACTGGCAGGCAAACCACTACATAAGAATAAATAATTAGTAACTGATAATGAACTAAAAGAAAACAAATACATAATTGAAGATTAGGCCCATAAAGTCAAAAGGCACAGGGAAGGGGGCAGGAATAAATAAAATAAATAAAAACTAGGGGCAAAGGGGAAGATACTTATTGTTTGATTTTATTAACCTGTCAATTCCATACTTACTAAACGGTCTATGCACATAATATATTAATAATCGATAAATCTTCGGTAAATTCCGTGAAAGAAACGCAGTAAGATGTAATTGGATTCGTCTTGTTTCTATGAATTAGTTACACTGACCGTTATAGCGCAATAGGGTAAACTACGGGTGTAAAATATCTAAATGTCCTATGTGTTGTATGATCGAGACCGCGTAAACCCAGGTTTTTTTTCTTATTTATAACTATTTTCATCATTTTAAGTAACGTTTGTTCTTTTTTTTTAAATCTGTTTTGCACTTGTTTGTAAATACTATACTTTTGTATATAACATTGTTAAAGAATTAATATTGAAAATTCATTCGGATTAAAATCAATGAATGTCATTTCAGTGCCTTAAAATACATCATTTAACGTGACAATTCGATCAGTGTTTCTTATTTGTTTAATATCCCTGTACTAGACAATATTGCAAGCGCTAGAACATTTTCATTAAAATATACTTAAGATAAAGAACGAATTAGTCTAAAAAGAATGTCAAGTAGGGATCAAACCCCGGATCTCTAAGGCATTAGATAATCACTTAACCGACTGAGCTATTGCGGATGTAACGGAAACCTACATCAAGCTAGTGGGAGTTTCCAACCGTTTGTGATATACTCCATATCGATTCTCGTAAAATAAACGGACAAACCAGAAGTGGGATCGAATATCTAAATGAGTGCTATAATGTATTCATAATTGACAGGTCGATAAAATCAGTATACCGTAGCCGAGAAATAAACAAGAGACATAAAACTGTCACCATAACAGTATAAAACAACATAGACATTCATCTGAGGAACACAGAGGGGCGCCGCCTTCGTATGGTCAGCAGCATAAATACTGCTTGGGAGTTTAAACCGGTTAATGGTGCACCAAACCTCGCTCTTAGCCCCACCATATTCCTATAAACAAGACAGTGTAAATAAAATGAATCCCCGCCAAGTGAAATTCTAACAGTTGTTACAAAAGTTAAATAAGTAAAACACTAAAATCATCATGTAGAAACATATTAAAGTAAACCCAATCACCATAACAAAAGTACTCGATGTCTTAAAGAAAGACAGAGCAACAAGAAAATCACCCACAAGATCCCGACGAAGCAAGAAAGAAGACAAACATTAAGGCAATTCCGTCCCAAAGGGCTTTAAGAACTGTCCATCGTAGAGTCTCCCACTTGATCCGTCATATGTAATCAAAAGAGGAAAGCGTAGTGTCCAACTGTATATGGGTTGAACACTAGGCCTGCGGTATGTCTTAAAATAATAGGGTCATAACTACTTTTATTAAAACGTTTAAAAATTTTAGTAAACACAACAGCAAAATTACAATGACCAAAGATCTAACGAAGTAAACAAAATCCCCGTAAAAATCAGGCTGGCTAATTCCTTGTCGCAGAAGTGTTTGGTGAACCATTAACCGGTTAAAACTCTCCAGCAGTAATTATTATGCTGCTGACCGTTCCAAGGCGGTGCCCCACTGTGTTCCTTAGATGTATGTCAATGTTGTTTCATACTATTTTATCTCAGTTAATTAGATTCGCTCGAGCTTTTATACATATTTAAACTGACGGTTCAAAAGAAGGTTGCAAAGTAGGTGCGGCTGTGTTTGAAAATAATTTTACATCTAGTATGAGGTTACCAGATAATGCATCAATTTTTACTGCTGAAGCAAAAGCTATCGATTTAGCATTGTCATACATAGCACAGCATACCCACGATAAATTTGTGATATTTTCTGACTCGCTTTCTGTTTTAATATCCATTAAAAATATAAAATCTGACAATATCATGGTAAAGAAACTTCTTTTACGATTTCATGATATACTAAACACAAAATATGTTAAATTATATTGGATTCCAAGTCATGTGGGAATACGAGGAAATGAAAAAGTAGATGCTGAATTGTCTTAATGTTCGTCTTCTGCCTTGCTTCGTCGGGCCCTTGTAGGTGATTTTCTTGTTGCTCTGTCTTCCTTTAGGACATTGAGTACCTTTGTTATGGTCATTGGGTTTACTTTTATATGTTTCTACATGATCATTTTAGTGTTTTACCTATTTAACCTTTTGTAACCATGACAACTGTTAGAATTTCACTTGGCGGGGATTCATTTTATTTACACTGTCTCGTTTATAGGAACATGGTGGAACATGGTGGGGCTAAGAGCGAGGTTTGGTGCACCATTAACCGGTTTAAACTCCCCAGCAGTCATTATTATGCTGCTGACCGTTCCAAGGCGGCGCCCCACTGTGTTCCTCAGATGTATGTCCATGTTGTTTCATACTGTTTTGGTGACACTTTTGCTTGTGTCCCTTGTTGTTTTCTCGTCTACGGTAAGTATCTTCCCCATTGCCTCTAGTTTTTGTTTCTTTGATTACTCCCCACCCCCTCCCCCCGGTCTCCTGTCCCCTTCCTCTTTGTGGGCCTAGGTTATTTTCTTTGAATTCCTAATCAGTTACAAATTAATTATCATTTAATGATTGGCCTGTCCGTGCTCTGTCTTTGCCCTGTCCTGTTTTTGTTTGGGGTCCCCCTGGGCTCCTTGCCGTTGGTTATTGTTGCTGGGTCATGTGGGGGTTGCGTTCATTGAACGCCGCCTTTCCTTGTTGATCTTGTTTATCATATTTTAGCTAAACAATCATTAAATTTTCAAAAAACTGCTTGTGATTTTAGACCGGCTATAAATAAACTCGTATCATCTGAATGGAAAGCAAATTGGGACAATGCCGTTTTTAATAAACTTCACGATATAAAATAGATAAATACAGAATCCCTAAAGAAAGCCCAACACGGCAAAATTGAAAATGTTGCAGGCTCGGTTTGATATAAACCAATCTCTTGTTGTGTCACCATCTTTATCTCTGTCAAACCGACGTGATCAAACAGTTCTTCTTCGATGCCGAATTGGACACACTAAAATGAAAATACCCCTTTCTGTGTAGGTTGTAATGAAAATTTTACTGTCAAGCATTTTCTTCTTGAATGTCATGATTTTTCACAGGCTCGTAATAGATTTTATTCTGTAAATTCGCTCAAAGAACTTTTTAATACAATTCCATCAAAAAACATAATTGATTATTTGAAAGAGATAAACTTGTATTCTAGGATCTAATTGTCATTTACAAAGTTAAACATAACATTTTAAGCCTATTATAGCATTCGGCACGATATGGCCAGTTATGTGTTGACGTGCCGTAAAAATCCAAACAAACAAACAGGAGTCAAAACCACATGCTGGAAGCTAAACGTTGTACATCAACCAATGCAGTACCGTCCATGAACAGGCTAAATCAAACCGAGCCTGCACCATTTTCAATTTTGCGGTTTTGTGCTTTCTTTAGGGATTCTGTATTTACCTATTTTATGATCACATCTGTGTTATTTGTGCCGTGTGGCGGCTGTGAAAATCTCCCCGTGCATTTAAGGTATGAGCCCCTTAATGGGCACTATAAGGAACTATAAAATTGACAACATAGGTCAGTTATATACCTTAAAAGACACAAGAATGCAAAATTTAAACAAAGTTTACCGTATGGTTTACGAGTTATGGAGATTTTTCTAAAGTGAAACTTGGGGGTTGCGTTCATTGAACGCCGCCTTTCCTTGTTGATCTTGTTTATCATATTTTGGCTATTAGAAGGGATCTTTTTCAGAAATGAGAAACTCTTATTATTCTATTATATAATCATTATGAAATAATGTTTTCCTATAGAAAATATTTAAGAAACAAATAATAGCATTCAATAGCTAACAAATGACCAAGCAAAATTATTGTATCTACTCAAATGTTTGAAATATGTATACAAGTGCAATTATGTGCGTTCATTGAACGCCGCCTTTCCTTGTTGATCTTGTTTATCATATTTTTTACCCTACGCGACTCATTTTAAGTAGTTGTTTGATCATTTTTCTACTTGGAGGGCCTTATTCAAATATCCCTAAAATTTACTCAAATAAGGGGCTGTTTACAAAGTTTGCATAAATTTTCTTTAAAATATAATGGATGTGCTTGTCAAATATAAAATACTATTTGATAATAAGTATGGCACAATTTAGCCAATAAATACCAATAATAATTTTATAATTAAAATAAAACACTTTTTTTCTTATCAAGAGTGATCTGAGAGACACAAAAAATGTTCAAAGAAAACAAAAAGAAAGAATTAAAAGTTGCCTCTTCTGGGGCTTGAACCCGCGCCCCTCAGTTTCAATGCAGTTGGCTATAGTTCTAGCCTATTTGAGTACTCTTCAAAGTGGAGGTAATGCATTAGGTGGGTCATACCTCAATCAATGATGTTATATTTTCGATCCTTAAAGATCGTTCAGCACGACATCTTTGTTGTGCTTGTGGTATTTTTAGCTTCAACTTTTCGGCATTTTCTAGTTGGGTGGTTCCAATATTCCCACTTGAATAATGTTAAATCACCCTAAGGGTATGTTGCCTGCTTTTTAAATTTGTCTTTTGACGTCTTATCTGTGATATGCAGGCTTCATAACCTCTGATCCCCTTTCAAAATTCCATTTTATTTAGTTCCGCCCATTGTTTACTCGTTTAAGGCACACGCTTTTTATTACTTGGGGACCATACGCCGCCGTATGAACACATCTGCGGATGTTTCTAAATTCAAAATTTTACTATTTCATGTTTAAATGTTGAATTCTGCTTAACCGGTGCTAGGGGGCGTGTACGGTAACTTGCACTTTCCTGTACCGTCCATGAACATTTGTTTACTTTTTTAGCTCATCTGTCACAAAGTGACAGGGTGAGCTTTTGTGATCGCTTTTCGTCCGTCCGTCCGTCGTCCATCAGTCCGTCCGTAAACTTTTACTTTAAATGACATCTCCTCATCAACCACTCAGCCAATTTCATCCAAACTTCACAGGAATGTTCCTTTGGTGGTCACCTTTGCAAATTGTTCAAATAATTAAATTCCATGCAGAACTTTGGTTGCCATGGCATCCATAAGATAAAACTTCAAATATCTTCTTCTAAAAAACCCAACAAGCTAGAGGTTAGATTTTTGGCATGAAACATCTTCTAGTGAGTGTCTACAAATGTTGTTGAAATAAAAGCCCTTTAGTCAAAATTGGCCACGCCCCATGGGGTCATTTATTTTCCCTATATGCATAAAGTAGAAACATACAAAATCTTCTTTGAAGGAACCCAAAGAGCTAGAGCTAAGTTGTTTAGCATGAAATATCTTCTAATGGGTGTCTACCAACTTAACAAGTTTGTTCAGATAAAATTCTTGAAACAAAGTGATCCCTCGGAGGCATTAATCACAACAAAATTACATAAGAATTGCAGACTCGGTTTGATTGAGTCTGTACATGAGAGATAATGATTAAGTGCAACATCCCTCACGCCCCCTAGCACCGGCTTGAGCGGTACTCAATTCTCAACACTTAAAAGCCCTGGGGTCAAAATTGGCCCTGACCTAGGGGTCATTGATTTTCCTTATATGTGTATTGCAAAAACTTAAAAAATTCTTCTATTGAAAAAAAAACAAAACAAATAGCTAGAATTTAGATACTAAGCATGAAACATCTTCTATTGAGTGTCTACCAGGATTGTTCAAATAAAAGCCCTTTGGCCAAAATTGGTCCCGCCCCGGGGTACATTGATTTTCCTTATATATGTATAGCAAATAGATAAATACAGAATCCCTAAAAAAGCTCAACACGGCAAAATTGAAAATGTTGCAGGCTTGGTTTGATTGAGCCTGTTCATGGACGGTACTGGATAATGCAAGTTATCGTCCACGCCCCGTAGCACCGGCTTAAGCAGAATTCAACATTTAAACGTGAAATAGTAAAATTTTGAATTTAGAAACATCCGCAGATGTGTTCATACGGCGGTTATCATTGAACCTTCAATGTGACACTTCCGTGCCATTCCATGAAAAGCGGCGTATGGTCCCCAAGTAATAAAATGCGTGTGCCCTAAACGAGAAAACAATGGGCGGAACTAAATAAAATGGAATTTGGAAAGGGAATCAGAGGTTATGAAGCCTGCGTATCACAGATAAGACGTCAAAATACAAATTTAAAAAGCAGGCAACATATCCCAAGGGTGATTCAACATTATTCAAGTAGGTAAGAATATTGGAACCACCCAACTCAAAAATCTTCTTAGAAAAAACCCGAATACCTTGATTTAAGATATTAAGCATGAAATATTTTTAAGTAAGTGCCTACAAAGATTGTTTAAAAAAAAGCCCTGGTGTCAAAACTGGCCCTGCCCCAGGTGTTTCATTATTTTTTTAACAATATGTGTAAAGAAAAAAACTTTTGAAAAATCTTCTTATAAAAAACCCAACGAGCTAGACATTAGATGTTTGGCATGAAGCATCTTCTAATGTTTGTTCAAATAAAAAAACCCGGGGTTAAAACTGGCCCCGCTCCGGCGCCTATATACAGGTGAATGACTTCAGGGCCATCATGGCCCTTATGTTAACAAATAAGTAATTTTATTTACATAATCATATGAAATTCTGGAAACAAAGTGATCCCTCGGAAACATTAATCACAACATAATAACGTAAAACTGCAGACTCGGTTTGATTGAGTCTGTACATGAGGGATAATGAATAAGTGCAACATCCCTCACACACCCTAGCACCGGCTTGAGTGGTACTCAATTCTCAACACTTTATAATGTTGGCACAAATGATCCCAAAGGACCAGAAAATATAACAACACTGAATTGAAGTACGGGGCAACTTTTTACGGCTGCCACACAGCACTTGACACCTGCTGTTGTGAAGTACAAAATTCTGGAAACAAAGTGATCCCTCGGAAACATTAATCACAACATAATAACGTAAGAATTGCAGACCCGGTTTGATTGAGTCTGTACATGACGGATAATGAATAAGTGCAACATCCCTCACGCCCCCTAGCACCGGCTTGAGCGGTACTCAATTCTCAACACTTTATAGTGTTGACACCACCAATGATCCCGAAGGACCAGAAAACATAACAACACTGAAGTGAAGTACGGGGCAATTTTTTACGGCTGCCACACAGCACTTGACACCTGCTGAGTTCTCAACAATACAGCCTCCGAATATTTCTTTTTATCTCTACTTGAGTATTAAAAATAAAATAAAGTCATTATGATACGACACAAATGCAACATATTTTGTACTTAACTTGATTATTATATTATTAGAAAAATGTTTTCCTGACAAATAAAACATAAATATGATAATTTAAGAACATTTCTTTTTTGATTTTTACATGTGTTTTGGCTACGAAAATTGATATTTTCGGGCCAGAATGGTGGACAATATATGTTGTTTTCGTAATACTGTCTAGGTCGTATTCCTCTGCATTTGTAAACTTAATGAAATTATAAGATCTACTGTTGGGCAGGGGCAATGCTCAATATTTTTTTACTTTTTCTAAAGACCGCCTCCGTGGTCGAGGGGTTAGAGTCGATGACTTCTAATCCAGTTACCTCTCTGGCGTGGGTTCGATCCCCGGGAGATGCTTACAATCGTAACTTTGATTTAATTTCTAAATTCAATAGTGATTTAAAAACTCTTCTGCGACAAGGGATTAGCCAGCCTGGTTTTTATGGCGAGGTGGTTTACAAACTTCGTAAGATTTTGGGTCATGGTAATTTTTCTGCTGTTTTTACTAAACTCATTAAACGTTTTATTAAAAGAGGTTATGACCCTACTATTTTAAGACATACTGCATGTTTAGTGTTCAACCCTTTTACAGTTGGACACTACGCTTTCCTCTTTTGATTGCATCTGACGGACCAAGTGGGAGACTCTATGATGGATAGTTCGTAAAGCCCTTTGGGACTGAATTGTCTTAATGTTCGTCTTCTGCCTTGCTTCGTCGGGCCCTTGTAGGTGATTTTCTTGTTGCTCTGTCTTCCTTTAGGACATTGAGTACTTTTCTTATGGTCATTGGGTTTACTTTTATATGTTTCTACATGATCATTTTAGTGTTTTACTTATTTAACCTTTTGTAACCATGACAACTGTTAGAATTTCACTTGGCGGGGATTCATTTTATTTACACTGTCTCGTTTATAGGAACATGGTGGGGCTAAGAGCGAGGTTTGGTGCACCATTAACCGGTTTAAACTCCCCAGCAGTCATTATTATGCTGCTGACCGTTCCAAGGCGGCACCCCACTGTGTTCCTCAGATGTATGTCTATGTTGTTTCATACTGTTTTGGTGACACTTTTGCTTGTGTCCCTTGTTGTTTTCTCGTCTACGGTAAGTATCTTCCCCATTGCCTCTAGTTTTTATTTCTTTGATTAACCCCCCCCGTTCCCCCCGGTCTTCTGTCCCCTTCCCCTTTGTGGGCCAATTATTAATTTCTTTGAATTCCTAATCAGTTACAAATTATTTATCATTTAATGATTAACGTGTCGTTGCCCTGTCCTTTTTATGTTTGGGGTCCGCCTGGGCTCCTTGCCATTGGTTATTGTTGCTGGGTCATATGGGGGTTGCGTTCATTGAACGCCGCCTTTCCTTGTTGATCTTGTTTTTCATAGTTTAGCAAGGAGGAAGGTAGTTTAGTACTGGTGTACTTGTTCACAGGAGGATTTGAGTTCTTCTGCCAACTTTCTCAGTTCAGAATGTGATTGTTTTAAACCTGCGTCACCAGCAATATCAATTAACCTGTAAAAAATAGCCAAACATTATAATATAGCTTTACATAACCATATATATATTATCTAATAGATGTTCTAAAGAAACAAAAAACAACTATGAATTTTTCCAGTAATACTAAAACTCTTAAATGCGCATGGCATTCCTTCCAATGTGATTCAAAAATCTATTATACTTCAATGCAAACTAGAACTATCATTAAATGTGATTAATACCCTCCCCCCCCCCAAGACTGCTTCGGAAATGAGAAAGTTACTAGTAAGAGAATACCTTGCTAAAGAATTAAAATAGAGTTATGGTTGTGGGCAATTATAGATAGTTGTGGTTCTTGTATGTTGCATTTCCTTTTAATGTGGTTTACCAATGATGAAGTTTTATTGAATTACTATGTAATAAGGCCAGAAAGAGTTACGCTTCTTGAGCACTGCACTTCCTCTCATTTGGCTTGACCATTGTATGAAGTTGCATTGAATTCTAAACATTAGTTTTTAAGTTATAATTCAGACAAGGAAAAGGAAATAAGGGCAATAACTCTAAAAATACTAAAGATGGAGTTATGGTTATAGTACACTGCAGTTCCTCTCATTGCCTTTGACCATTGTATGAAGTTGTATTAAATTCCAAGATTAATTGAGTCAAGAAAGAGTTATGGTTTCTGTGCACTGCGCTTCCTCTCAATATATTTGACCATTGTATGAAATTGTATTGAATAGTAGTTTTCAAGTTATGCTCTGGACAAGAAAAAAGCAATGGAAAGGTAAAAAAGGGCAATAACTCTATAAATACTGATAGAGTGATGGTTCTTGTACACTGCACTTCCTCTTAATGTGCTTGATGATTGTATGAAGTCATATTGAATTCCAACCATTAGTCTTCATGTTATGCTCCAGACAAAAAAAGCAATGGAAAGGTAACAAAGGGCAATATCTCTGTAATTACTTCAGATAGAGTTATGGTTCTTGTGCACTGCACTTCCTCTTATTGTGCTTGACCATTGTATGAAGTTGTTTTGAATTCTAACCAGTACTTTTCAAGTTATGCTCCGGACAAGGAAAAGTAACAAAAGGCAATAACTCTGTAATTAGTCAATATAGAGTTATGGTTCTTATGCACTGCATTTCCTCTCAATATGCTTGACCATTGTATGTAATTATATTGAATTCCAATGAGTAGTCTTCAAGTTATGGACAAGGAAAATGCAACGGACGTCTGGACCGACAAAAAGTGACTCCTATATACTCCCCCAAACTTTGTTTCGGGGGTTTAATAATTCAATGAAGTAATTCTAAATGAATAAATTCATCCAATTGTAGGTAGTTCGCTAATCTATCATTATTCACAGCATAAAAATATGCAAAACAGCTCTTGTATCTTCATCAACCGCCTCCGTGGTCGAGGGGTTAGAGTCGATGACTTCTAATCCAGTTACCTCTCTGGCGTGGGTTTGATCCCCGGGAAATGCTTTGGTAGTTTAGCGCGGAGGAAGGTAGTCTAGTACTGGTGTAACTCTCCAGGAACGATGGTTAGGAAACTACCCGCCTATATAACTGAAATACTGTTGAAAAAGGCGTAAAATGAAACAAACAAACAAAAAATTCATCAACCCAAATAAAAAGATTGTTTAAATTTTGAAAATGGGTCATTTATTTCTGTATAATCCTTAATTTAAACAAAAAAACGAACACTTACCGTGACAGTGGATCACCATATTTCTTGTAGCTTTTAATAAAACGTCGGATCTCTCCATTTGTGAAGTTTTTTATATCTTCATTCGGAGTGGCCCGCGGCCTACCACGTTTTTTTTTGCACACATCATTTTTTTCTTCATCATCAGACCAAGACTAAATTATATTGTAAATAAATACTTATATAAACGCAGGTTTTAAAGTTTCCTATAGAACTTCTCTAACAAAATGAATGATAATTGTTTAACTATCATAGAACACACACAGAAAGGACTTGTCATAAATTTTTTCCCCAATATATGCTTTTCTTATCAACGCTTTTATAGTTATAATATATTTACTTTCCAAGAGTCATTTCGATTTGGATCTGGTAAGGTTCAAAATACAATTTGAATAGAAACTGGAGGAAGTTCCTCTAGCTCTAAAATGGTAAGACAGCGAAAGTTTACTCTCGTTCAATATTCGGGCATCTCTCTCGTTTGTGGTTAACAGAAAGTTTACTCTCGTTCAATATTCGGACATCTCTCTCGTTTGTGGTTAACAGAAAGTTTAGTCTCGTTCAATATTCGGGCATTTCTCTCGTTTGTGGTTAACAGAAAGTTTAGTCTCGTTCAATTTTCGGGCATCTCTCTCGTTTGTTCTCGTTCAATATTCGGGCATCTCTCTCGTTTGTTCTCGTTCAATATTCGGGCATCTCTCTCGTTTGTGGTTAACAAAATGTTATACTGATATGACATTATCAAATCTTTTCCTTCATCGTTCATCTTCTCAAATCAAATCATTTCGGAATAAGTATTTATTATTTTTGATGTAAACATTTTCAAAAAGATTCTGTCTAGAGTGTCATCTGAATGATGCATAAATCAGAACATATAATTTGTCTGCGAAAACAAATAAAAATGTTGTTATCTCAATTTTAATGGAACTCTGCAGAAGCACTGAATACTGCTCAAACAATTGCTATGTTGAATTGGATGCTGCCGAATTTTAACCACGTTGTATTTCAAGAATCTACTTTTTATGTTTCCGTGCTTATTTCTTCTTTTTCGTCTACATTTTTTGTTGCAGTAAAGTTTTGATTGTCTAGGAGAATCTTTCCGGCAACACTATTTCTTTAAATGAGTTTATTATTCAATTGTCTAACTTATTTATCTATAAGAGAAAAAGGAAATTTGGTCATTAAGTTTTTGTTTTTGAAGTATGATATTGCATTATATTTTTAACAATTTAAGTATGATAAACATGTTTTTAGGATATGAATGAAGTATAGCCATTTGCACAGGGGTCTTTCGAAGAAAATATACAGACACGCTTTTACGTGTATGTGAAATACCCCCCCCCCCCCATTTAATTGAATTAATATGTTGAAGAGGTCAGAATCATACGTTAGATTAATGCAATCTCTCATTTTTAAGGTATGCAGTTTCTCCCTGCCTCATAGTTCAATGCATGTAACATAATATGTGGGTAAAATACATCCGCAAATGAAATAAAAATCAATATATTTATTTCTTATTTATATGTAACGTTAACCATTTTTCGCTTGAATGCGTATGCATATACACAACTTTATTTGATTTACGAACATGACTATCATTGGATGAACAGAATGGAATTCTAAAAATGTTAATGGCGGTGCATATTGTTATATATATGCCCTTTGGAAATGGGCCCTTTTAAATTTGGAAATAAATTTCTTCACAAAAAATTTTTAGCAACTTTTTTGGCCTTTATTCATTCTTCTTATATGAATTTAGAAATTTTGGGAAAAGATTTTTTGGGCTCGCTTAAATGTATTTTTAACATAAATTAAGTTTTTTTTAATATTTTTTTATGAATTTTAAAATTTTTTTTTCCCCAAAATAGACCCAAAAAACCCAAAAATTTCACCTTTTTTTGGTTTTTTACATATGAAAAATTTTTTAAAAATTGAAAATTAAAATTTAGCATTTCCCCATGGGGTTTTTAAAAACAATTGTTTTTTTTAAATTGAAAACTATTTTCTTCGAAATTTATCCCATGTGGTTTTTAAAAACAATTTTGGTTTATTGAATGTGAAATTTTCTTACAGAAATTACTCCATGTTGCCTTAAACAATGTATTTATTGAATATGACAACTATATCTTACAGCAATTATCCCATGTTGCCTTAAAACAATGTATTTATTGAATATGATAACTATATCTTACAGCAATTATCCCATGTGGCCTTAAAACAATGTATTTATTGAATATGACAACTATATCTTACAGAAATTACCCCATGTTGCCTTAAAACAATGTATTTATTGAACATGACAACTATATCTTACAGAAATTATCCCATGTTGCCTTAAAACAATGTATTTATTGAATATGACAATTATATCTTACAGCAATTATCCCATGTGGCCTTAAAAAAATGTATTTATTGAATGTGACAACTATATTATACAGCAATTATCCCATGTTGCCTTAAAACAATGTATTTATTTGTTGTTTGGTTTTTATCGTTTGACTGACATTTTAAATTGTACTACTTAACATCAATGTAAGTAAACATGAAGAAAACAATCTATCCCATTTTTTATGAGAATATCATGATTTTAGCACTTATGTGTTTACTTATAAATGTACCCACTTCTATAAATATCAAAGGATTATATTTTTGAAAATATAATTATTGATGTAGGGAAACCTAACTAGCATGTTTTCGAAAGTTTAGTAAAATTGCTCAGCCATCCTGTAAAATCAAGTAAAATGCAAAGACGTCTTCTTTTTACAGAAGAACGTGAGGATTTTCAGTGCTCATATATGTACATAAGTGTGCATTCTTTTATGGCAATTTAAGTATAAATACTTATATATCCAGTAACTCATTAATTCTTGTATAAAATCGTGTTTTTTTCTGTTGATAAACTATTGAAATTCATAATCATCTATGTATCTTAGATTTAATTTAACCAAGTTATATCATTTATGTATGATGCTAACGTTACAGCATTAGACTTATCTACGCATTGACGAGTAATCTCTCTTACGTGAATTACAGCATATTAGTAACACTCCGATAGTGTGGCGGCCGTAAAAATGTATTTAGATCGAAAACGTTTCTATGTACGTTTTATTTATTCTGCACTACTATAATTAGTTCAAGATAAAATTTCTTTCTGTTAAATTAACATATCGGAATTGTACATGTTCTAGTATTCGAACAATCCATTAAAACAGCAAACTAGAGAAAAACAGAATCCCCAAAGAAAGCCCAGCACGCCAAACTTGAAAATGTTGCAGACTAGACAGTAGTGGTGATTGCAAGCTACCGTCTACGCCCCCTAGCCCCGGCTTAAGAAAAATGCAACATTTAACATGAGGATTCAACTTATGAATATGTCTTAGATTTTGCCAAAACGTATTGAGAAACCTTTGGTCTCTTGATTTTAAATTTAATTATATGATTTGACTTGCAATATAATTGTTTAAAAATATTTGATCCTTGAAAGTAAAAATTTTGGGGAAAGTAAAAATGGGCCCAGATTCCGTTTTTTAGGCATTTTTAAAATGATAATATATGCCCCGGGTTTACTCAAAAAATGCAAAAAAAAGTTAAATGATAAATTGAAATAAAATGGGGTAGACTTTTTTCCCCAAAACCCACAAAAGCGCTATGGGGAAAAACCCCGTTAAAAAATTAAAAGTTTAAATTTTTAAAATGCGCCATAAATGTTTATTTTTCCCAAAACCAGGGCCCGGCTTTTAAAATTTTACTTTTTGTGTAGGGTTTGAAATTGTTGTTTTTTTAGTGTTTTCCCCATATAAGTGTGTTCAATTTTTTAATATTGTAAATTTGGGCATGAAAAATTTTAGTTTTGAGTTTTATTTACACCCCTCAAACTTCTTTACTGATTCAATAATAAATATGGTAAATGTAAAATGACAAAAAAATACAATATCGATTTGCTTAAAGACTTTACCGAGACATGATACTATGTCACACAACACGGACTCAAGCGCGCGCCAGCACGCAAAAACACAAACATGTTTGGTGAATGTAATACGCTAGTCTATTTGCACCTAAGACATTTCATAACAAAAACAGAAATAATTTGTCATGGACGTTGAGAATTTGATTCCGCTTAGTTTTAGAGCTTAAACTTATCAAATCATATGATCAAAAGAGGAAACAAAACGATATATTCGAAAATGTAACAACTTGATTTTATGGTACATTATAATTATTTCACTTATACATGGAAAATATGAAAAACTTCTCATGCAGATGTAAAATCAAATGTAGCAGAACTTAAAACTTCTTTTTGATATCTTTAGTCATCTTATGAGTTTAAGTAATCATATCACGATAGTTTTGCCATTGAATCTTAATTAAAATGACTTCAAAGTCACACATTTCTTTACATCTCAACATAAATTTCACAAATTGAGCGTTTTGCTTTTAATGATGAGATTTAATGATTCTGGCATAAGTTTTATAGATTGATATTTTGTACGACATAATGACATTATAATATTGCTCGTACTTCTTTACTGCATGATAAACATCGTAGATTTTAATCGGCTTTTGTAATGTTCTAAACGCATATGTGTGCTTTCAGTTATTTATCATTAAACGATGGTTGCTCACTTCCTATCTGAATATCCCACGTACATTGTTGCGATAAATTGAAATCTCGTTCACGAAAAGATCAGCATTATATATATATATATATATATATATATATATATATATATATATATATATATATATATATATATATATATATATATATATATATATTATATCAACGAACTTAAAGATCATTTCAAAAGATATCGAAAATGATATGTCATTGTACATGTAAACTAGAAAAAAAAACAACAGATAAATACGTAGAATTTTACATCTTTTACATAGGCAACATGATTTAAAATATTGTAGTTGATTGTATATTCCGTATTTTCCTTTCTTCTAGCTTTCAAAGCAAAGATGCACAATGGCTTACAATCAAAGTACAAAAAATGCACCCCAGTGAGTAATAAAGGTCCTATAATAGATTAAAATCATTGTTGTCTTATGTAAACATGCAGTGCACAAAAACGAAAATAACATGAGGCAGACATTGTGTAGCAAACGGCATTCCGTCATGCTACACCAACGCTGAAAGCATCAATTTTACAATCCTAAACATGATTTCTGGCCCTTCTGGTTCAGAGTTACACAAAAAGCCGGCGCTAGATCAAACTGGAATACAAAAATTCAATAAACAAAATCAACAAGGAAATGCGGTATTCAACGAATGCAACCCCCACATGACCAAACTACCTTGTATTCGTTTAATTTCTTTGTTCAATGTTTTGTCCTTGTACGTTTATGTTACACAAATATCATTGCATTTAATGGGAAATTATTGGAAACTGAATTAATTTAAATATGGTTTATAGTTCACTTGAAGCCCATGCTCATTAAAAACAAACAAAAACAACAAAATTGCAGGATGTAACTAAGGTTCCTTCTGGACAATTATTTCCAGTTTTGTTAATAAAAGATGTGTACTGTAGTAAATAATAGGAAAAAAAACATTTAAACAGAGAAAACAAAAGAACGCTAAAACCGATAAAATTTGAAATTTTGCAGACTTAGTTTGATTGAGCCTTTTTATACACTGTACTGGAAAGTACAAGTTACAGTCCATGTACCTTAGCTCCGACTTTCTTTTAATCTGAGTCACACTAACATGATTAAATTAACTTTCATTTAACTGATTTCAATTAGTTTCTTACATTTCTCTGCACAGCAATATTTTTCTCTCGTTCAGGAAATCAATTGAAATTGTCTGTCAATGGCAGATACCGGAAGCATTGATGATTTTTGGAAATAACTGATTATAAAATACATTCACGGCAGATAACGAAAATCACGTAAGAAGGTTGTCAATACTTTTTCATGAACAAATAATTATTACGATGTTGAAGTATCTTACATTTAATCAATAATTATCAATTATTAGTATTCGTAGTTTTTTTCTGAGATATTTTAGATTTACTAAAAATTGGTGTTTCTTAATACAAAGTATTTTTCATTATAGTAACAACAAAACAATACAAAACAGACTGTTTTAGCTATGTTCTCTTTACAGTTAAAGAAACATTGATTGGAAAGCAAAGAATGTGGTGAGCATGACATTTTCAAAAATATAAATCAAACTGCTTTGAAAACCAAGAAAAGTTTTCACCTTACCAAAACGTTAGTTGTCACTTGCTTATACAATTTATACATATTAAATTATCACTGTCCAATACAGTCACGTACTTTTACTACTGTCTTATCTTAATATCCTAAAAGTTTTCATAACATTTATTACGCATTAAGAGCCTTAATATATTTATACTTAGAACTTGGTAATAACAACAGATTTTTATCAGCATTTACGGATAAGGGAGTCAATGATCAATATCCCGCGTTTCATTTGGTTTTTATTAACAGGTTTTTTGTGTATTTTCTTTTCAGAAACATATTATGATTATGCAGAGATACATTACGTTAATATTATTAACGTTGGTTATTTTGAATTTTTAACATTTTGGTTATTCGCAAAATACCAAATGCAAACGACAAAGTACTATAAATTCAGTATTTTATAAGAACTATTTAGAAAATAATAAAGGTTGAATTGTTTATATATATTGACAACAAATTCGGTATCAGGCTGCTTCATCTAAGCAAACAGTTATTTAAAACTTGTCAAACTAAATGAATACTGGATAATACTTACATTGTTGGCGAAAGTTTATTAGTTATATTATCAATGGGCCGGTTCTAGTATTCCTTTTTGGATACTGTTTAATCTCTTCTACGGTCTGTTACTTGCTTTTTAAATTGTATTTTATTATCTCTGATGTACAGGCTTCATAACCTCTACACCATGTTAATAGTGATAAAAATAATAAACAGAAGAGAATTTAAAAAATAGTACTCAAAAAGGAGTAAAATTAGACAATGTCTGTTATTTTGACCAATGTCGTATTATAATTTTATTGACTATGACGATGAGATTACACACGTTTGATGTGTGACTGTATGTAAACTTGACAAAAGTCTAAAAGTTTATGTCAGACTGAAATACCTTTCTGACGTGTTGAATTATTTAAATCAGTGCGCTCATCACTTTTCCTCCTTGTGGGAAGGGATACAGTATAAAGAATGATTCATTTTTTACGATTACCTCCTTGCATATCTTTTACATATTGGTTTAGATATAACTGTTCCACAATGAGAAAAAATAGTAAACACAATGTATTTATATAAAGATATTTGAAAGATGTACATAACAATATATATTCATACAGCTTTTAAAAATTTCTGCCGAGCTTTATTATTGTCTGAAAATTGTGATTCCTCGACATTTATTTTATATTCAAGTAGTCTGTCCTTTAAAATAATGAGAAATTTACGCTTCATTTTTTACAGTTAAAAGCGTCAACTTGATATTTCCGAGCACTGTCTCTTTACAGACTGCTTACATGTCTTTCCCAAACAATGGAAAGAAACCTAAGTAAAAGTGATTTAAAATGACGGAAAAAAATCTCATGACAACATACCATGTGTTAATATTCTGAAAATCATGATAAAATTTGAAATCTTTGAAATGTTTGATATCATTTAAGCGGACTACAATCAATTTGTATCAACAGTGTAAGCTCTTGACACAAATCTCATTACCATGTTATTACTGAAGAAAGATTGAAACTTATTTGAAAACTCAAAATAATTTGATTTTGCGAAAATATTAATTGACACAAACTTTTGTAATATGTCATAATATTGGTTTATTCGAACACGATTGTTGATACAAAACATGAAAAAGATCAACAAGGAAGGGAGGCTTTCAGTGAAAGCATTCACCAATATAACACAACATCATCGGCTAGGAACCTAGAAAACACATAAACGGGACAGGGCGCAAGGACTAGAAGGATTTGTCAGGTGAAAAAAGAAAAATAAACGACAAAAACCAATAAAGAAACCACAAAAACAAAACAAAAGGAAACCCAAACAACAAACTTTTGATGATGTGGATGGAAATCCATTCCTTTGGTTCCGGTTAATGGGATATTTAACAAGGCCGGAGAACGTCAATCACAATACTGGCCGGATACCTAATAAGCACACAATTGACAAATCATTAACAATTATTTAAAGGTAGGATCAAACAAAAAACCTTAAATACATAATATTAAACTCGTGACTGGGCGTTGAATTTTTGGAACACAAGAACCTTTTTAGCCGGATGTTGCTCCCCGAATAGGTTTTGACACAGGAAAGTATACCTATTGTAGTATCAGAGTTATGTCGACGAAGTTCAAAGTTTGAACATGAACGAAGGGCAATAACTCCAAAGTTAGCGACAAGGCAGAGTTAAGGTTCTTTTGCACTGCACTTGTATTCAATTAATAATGAGATCAATCTACCTACAAAGTGTAATGTTGATACCTCTAACCGTTTCAGATGTATGTCCCGTACGTTCAAAGCTGCAGAAAGTAAAAGAAAAGTACAAGGCATTGGAAAAAAGGATATGAACTCCACTAGGAAAAATCACTGTTTTTAAGTCAATATTGCTTCCTTTATTGACTCATTGTTTTACAAGTCTACCTACAACTTATACTGCTTTTTGAAAACACTTCATGACTTAATGACTTATTTTATGATTTTATATTGGAAGGTAAGGCAAAAAAAAATCTGCAATCATTACAAATACAAATAAGATGGTCTTAACATGGTAGATATTAGTAGTTATGTTCATTATTTAAAAGCAAGGTAATGCTGTTACCTTGACTTTCAAGGCATCGATCCAAATGTTATGCGTGACACGTAGTCTCAATATAATGAACATTTCTGTGAAATAGTTGTAAAATCCGACTTCAAATAATGAAGTTATGGGCCGGACACGATTTTGCTGCAAGGTCATGCTGTGACCTTGACCTACAAGGTAGCGACCCAAATGTTGCACGCGACACGTCGTCTCAATATGGTAATCATTTCTGTGAAATAGTTGTAAAATTCGACTTCAAATAACGAATTAATGGGCCGCACACCAATTCGGGACGGACGGACATCCCGGCGACTATATGCGCCCCGAACTTTTTCGGGGAGCATGTATAAAAACAGAGAAATATAATAGACGAAAAACAAGATAATCAAAGAAAGGCGGCGTTTAATGACCGCAATCCCACATGACCCAGCAACACAGGACCACAGTACTACAAACTAATAAAGGTTATTACAAAAACTATATATAATTTTAAAGATTTGTGTTAAAAACCTTCAACTAAATACAAATTAGATATGAGATATAAATGAATTAGCATTTATTGTGAATGTTTCCTCAAAACAAACATACTTTTATAGCAACACAATCCGACAAAAGACTTACGACTATTGTGAATGTTTCCTCAAAACAAACATACTTTTATAGCAACACAATCAGACAAAACACTTACGACTATCTTTGACTTTTAAGATTTCCCTCATTTTCAGTTTTCATTTCAAGGGCAATTAACTTTTTCATCAAGGACATAATTGAGATTTGCAGCCCTATTAAAGTGACTGCATAATTAACTCTTGTATTACAATTGACAAAGGAAACGATGATTACGTCTTATTTGTATGAACGTACTCGCGATGATTGCGTTTCTTTTCCTCGTATATTCAGCGGATGCACAACAAATAATGTACGCTCTTCACTAATTTGGTTTAAACAGTGTTTATTTCATATAATACAAACATATACAATTATGATACAACGTAGATTTCTTTCCTGTAAATTGTAAAAATAAAGCAAATTATAATGTACACGTACAAGTTCACTAGTTACTGACATGAAATAATACATATTTACTTATAGCAAGAGTGAGATAAGTAATGAAAATACAACAAACGACAACTAATGTGCGTTCATATATAAAAAAAAACTCTCGATTTTCATGTATTTTTGCTGGATATAAGGCTTCGCAGGAATCATTTTTAGCAGATATTTGTGTAAGATCTTGTAATGTTAAACACATTATTTGTTCTAAATAAAAGTGTGTTGTCTTCGCGTGAATACAATTTAAAAGATACAACGTTTCTTCTTTAATTGATACCTAGATTGTGTATTTAATATAATGGAAAAAAATTGGCTTCGTAGTAACTTCACTCAATAATATATCAATTCTGCGACACAAACTATATTTGCGTACCAAATGCTATAAGCGGAAAGTAAGATCTGCTCAAATCGGTGTTTGGGTGCACTACACGGTATCAGATAGTGTTTTGCAAAATATTGATCAGATACAGATGATGAGAAGATTTCATAAAGTCTAACATTTCCGTTCACTATTTTTACAATCTGATGTAAATGTGCTGGCGGTGTATATCACCTGGAGCTAAGGTGTGTTATAACCGGTACTTTGTACCTAGACGGTTATTACTTTTTTGCTTTTTTGTAAAATAACAGAGCCATTCGTCCTCAACTCATTCGAACATAATGCGATTCGCACCAATATTTAAATTGACATATTTTCGGGGAAACGAAGATATCTTTAACCCTTTTCTTTGTCTTAAATTTATTTTAAGTGTACCAGTCCTAAATTGTTTTAAGTATACCAATCTTTTCAATTTTACTTGTTATCCAATTTCAATTTTTGTCGCAACATCATTTCAGAATTTCAGATAAGGCATTACTTTGGGAATTTATGCATTAGGCGATACTTTTCCACAAAAATATGCAACGTAATTATTAAACAACGAGCACATTCCAAGAACATGGAGATAAAATTGACTAGTGCTTCGGATATTCAACTGTAATAGAAAACGATTTTCAAGGCTGATTTTGTGCATTACCTTTGACTGTTCACATCTTTTGGCGGAGTTCTTGATGTGCAGCATCAACATTTAATTTGTTTGATTGTCTTCATCGAAATCAGAATCAAACAAATCTTGAGTGCTTTCTAGGGCCATTTGAAACACGTTTTGCTTCATTGCAGCAAGCTGCTTTTTCAGCAAACAATTTTCTTGAATCAATTTGGTTCTCTCATCACACATTTTTGACAATGATTCATAATTGCCTTGTAAATATTAAAGTTGTGCTTTTAAGTCCTCTATTTTTGTACCCGAAATGATCATGTTTTCCTAACAAGATTTAAACGTCTTGACACTGTTTCCAATTTTGTGAAAATGTCTTTTATAGATGATCCACCTCTCAGCTTGTATGACACTCCCAACATTTCAAGATGTAAAGCCTTCATGCTTTCAAGAGGATCCATTATAACCTTCAAAAGAAAAGAAAATTATAATAATACGACTTTTATGAAATGAATTCAGAAATATTTTTATTGGCTATGTAATATTAAGTTCTGTAGTTATCATTGAATGTTGAATAAAAGTATGAAGCACACCTTTGTTATTGTTTAAGAGTTGAACGGTGACAGGTATTGCTTTTCGAAAGAAAAGTAGTCAATGGAATTTAACTGAAAATATAGAGAATACAAATTTAAATGGAATCTTTCTATTCATATAAGTATCACTTGATGTTATACTCTGGAGGCAAGAGGTGTGACTTTTTCTCTTTAAGCATGTAGCATTCTTCAGCATCATTTGGACAAAATGATGCAAAGTTAAAAAAATGGTAGTTTGATAATAAGAAATTATTGTTTTCATTATTTTTCAGGACTTGTAAATAATGATTTGAAAAATACACGATGCTGTCATAGCCAATTAAAAAGTAATAAGAGCAACTAGAAGTAAACTATAAAGAAATAGCTATTATTTTATACTTATTTAGGAAAGATGAAAATTAAAAGACCTGAAACTCTACATTTCTGTGCACAAATTTGATGAATATTCTACTAGTTAAAGAAAAAGGTACCGACAGATAAAATAAATAAGTACTAAATTTCTAAGTTTTCCCAGAGCATAACTCATGAAATACTACAGAGTTATGCAACTTGTGTTAGAGAAGACTAAATACATGACACAGATATGAGTGTTGTTCAGTGATTCATATTTATGAACAGAAAATATACATATGAAGTCTCAAGTTTGTATCTTTAATAGTTTCAGAGATATGCAAAACGTGCATGTAAAACTTTACCAAGAAAAGGAGTTTTTTAGTACAAAAAAGGAGCATAATTCAGTCATTATACATGGCAGAGTAATTGATCTTGAGATCTGATCTTCAATAATGACCCTAAGTACATATGTAAAGTTTCAAGGAAATATCTTTAATAGTCCTTAAGACCTTTAACCAAAAGTTTCATGGGCATAATTCTGCAAATATTGCAGACAGAGTTCTACAACTTTGCAAACTGATGTACATTGTTACTATAAAATGTATTGTAAATTTCAATTAAATATCTCAAGCAATAATTGTGACATTTGACTTCACAAAAAACTTCAACCAACATTTCTAGGTTAAGAAGGGGCATAATTCTGTAAATATTGTAGGTAGAGTTATCTAACTTGTCAATCTAATGTACATTGTTACAATAAATAAGTATTGTAAGTTTCAATTGAATATCTCAAGCAATAATTGAGATATTTGACTTTACAAATAAACTTTAACCAATGCCAACACCGACTTGGACCCCGATGACGACGCCGGGGCAACTGCAATAGCTCCCCATATTCTTCGAAAGGTCGAGCTAAAAACACTTTGATGACAAATGACACAATATCTCACAATCAACAATGGGACGCATTGAAACATTAAACGTTCTGCTTTCAAATGTAGCAAGGAGGAATATAATGTTTTGTTTTGAAAGTGTTACACAATTTCTGATAAATGTCTCAACTTTACACAAAAATGTGTAAGCTACAAAGACCTGTTCTATTTTCTCCAACAACCATAATATATCAAAGTCGATTTTGTTTGTTTGGTTGCTTTCACGGCACACCAACACCGTTCTAGTGAATAACGTTTTACAAATGATGCTTAATGTATGTTCATTAAGTATAAGACAGGATAAAACAATGCCGTAAAACAATGAAAAATGTACACTTTGATTTAAAATTAAATTCCAATAATCATTTTATCTGGTTAATATGTTTAGCAAAGTTATGACATTGTGTCGTGATATCACAATGAATGATTCGGTGAGGTAAGGAAAAGCATCATAACATAATGTAAACATTTTGTATAGCAATTTAATATACACTTTATGAATCATATACTAAACTATAAATTATACAGGAACAGTACCCAGTTTTTGACGTCAATTCATCGCTATTTCTTAAGATGACGTAACGGGTCATATTGATTAAATTACAAAATTATTAGTACATTTATTTTAAATCTAAAATGGCAATCACTTCGTTTGTAATGTAATTGCGATGCTTATGTACTTTTCTCGTATCTCTACGCCAAAAATGCGTTTTGTTTCATGTTCCCATCTGAAATTTGTTCATGGGACTCATAAAACTCATATGAATAACAATAAAAAAGAATAAACATGTTTTGTTATGATCATTGTCCGGACATACTTTAGAACCTTTTTCGTTCATTATTCATAAATGACTAGGTGAGATCAAAAGTGAAATGTGATTTATTTTAAGTATAGTTATTATGAAATACTATATGTTATGGTTATGGTTCAAACAACATTTATTATAATGAAGCGTTTCCCTCTTACTAGTAGAGATTTACAGCTTGTACGGATAACGATAGCCGGAGACGAACAACGGTTATAATATTCGGGGGCTATCTCAAAATATTTATCATTCAATCAAATACAGTAAGTTCTTTAACCTTTTTATGGCAAGTAAGATAAAATAAAAGTACAAATAAGATCATACAATTTATTATTTATTCATACACTAGAAATTGGCATGTTACGTATAATCTCTGCAATAACGTGTATCATACTATTCTGTTAAGTTTTAGGCACTTTCTCCGCCGTTTAGCCCCTATTTACGGCGTATTTAAGCTGACGTGTATGGTGTCGTAATATGGGCATAAGTCGGATAAATTTTATCGACAAGTTCAACGCACTCTTTTGAAAATGGTAATTTAGTGCCGATTTGAGGTAACAGTAATACTGCTGGGCATCGTTATAGTGACCAAGAAACCCACTTCGTATATATCTTATATTCGATGTCCCGAACAAAAATGTTCTTGTGTTTCATTCACGCATAGGGCTACTGCTACCATATATAGTTCAATCAATTGCTATCACGGCTATTGAAATTCTGTTCCAGGTGCCTCTCATGGCTTACCACTTATGAACCTGTGGCAAAACGACAAATATTTTCGATGTAGATAGAAAATCGGGATAACATATCATTGTCGCACTTGGGACCGATATGTTGAACAATGGTGAAAGCATCATAAACTTCTGTTATGTTCAAAACCACATAAGCACAAAAAGAACTCTGTTTATTGCAAGAAGATTAAGAGGCTTGTATGATGAAATACGAAAAGTTCCTAACATATCTAACAAGAGCTGTCAGAAGGACAGCGCGCTCGACTTTTTTAGTGCTTGCCTATAAAACAAAACTTTGACAGTTAAGGGCACACAAGACTTTAACTAGGAATTTCTAAGTACAAATCAAGAAACATTTTCACAGAGTTATCTTCTCTTGCTTACAGATAGGTCTCATGATGGCACATAAGAACTCCAACTTCCAAAGTAATATCTCAAATGGTTAAGTCAACAAGTGGACAAGAATGAAAATCTTAACTGAGTTTCTAAGTCAAAAAGGGCCATAATTCAAATAAAATCCTTAACAGAATTACCTTCTCCTGCCCATGTTTTGGGACCATGATGGTAAACAAGTATTCCAACTTTCAAATTAATATCTCAAACAGTTCAGTCAAAAAGTGGACTGGTACTAAAAACTTAACCAAGATTCTAAGTCGATAAAAGGCCTTAATTTTTAAAACAAATCCTTGACAGAGTTACCTTCTCTTGCGTACAGATGGGGGTAATGATGTGAAATAGCATTAAAAGTTTCAAAGCAATATCTCAAAGGGTTAAGGCAATAAGTGGATTTTACCCATATTCAATGTATTTTCTAAGTCAAAAAGGGGCATAATTCTGTCAAAAACCTTGACAGAGTTATGTCCTCTTGTCTGTTGATGAAGGTCGTGATGGTAAACAAGTATGGTCAGTTTCAAAGCAATACCTCCAATGGTTTTGAAATAAAGTGAGGTGGTACAAAAAACTTAACCAAGCTCAATACACTTTCTAAGTCAAAAAAGGGCCATAATTCTGTCAAAAACCTTGACAGAGTTATGTACTCTTGTCTGTAGATGGAGGTTATGATGGTGAACAAGTATGGTAAGTTTCAAAGCCATACTTGTAATACTTCTGAAATAAAGTGGGGTGGTACGAAAAACTTAACCAAGGTGTGACGCCAACGCTAACGCTAACGCCGACGCCGACGCCGACGCCGGGGCGAGTAGGATAGCTCCCCTTTTCATAGAAAAGTCGAGCTAAAAACTGTCTCAGCAGTTCCCCCGGTCACTTGAAAGAGATAAAAAGAAAACACATTTCTGCCACTTAAAATGTCTTAAACGATTCAAAAAAAAAATATAACTTATTTTTAGTATTTGGTTAGGCGATGCTCGAATGAGTTCTAAAATCGTGCAAATAAGTCCAAAGTAATTGGTGATGTCGGGGAAGCCTTAACCAAAGCCGGTAAAATGTTTTATTGCTTTGATTGGTTCATAGTCCATTGTTACCTAAAATAAGACACATCTCTGCCTGGAATTTTTTAATATTCATTTAGATGTGACATAATAAATTGTGTTGAAATAAGTTTAGCCATACTTCATAAACTATTATAGTCTTTTTGTACCGTCATATTACAAAAATAGTATTCATATAAAGGGAAATTTCCCTCACGGAGTTCACATGGGCAATGAAACACTAATGTTAACTTTGTCGATATGTAAAATGGAAGGTGAAAAAAAGACACAACAAAACATTAAATCTATCATTTTCACACTATAATTTATACTCTGCTTCTCTATTCGGTTTACCCTTTTGCTTTTTGTTATTTTGTTGCATAAAAATATGCGAATTAAACATGCTTTTAGTTTCGGTCATCTTGTGCAGGAGTTGCATTAGATGCTATTGCGCACCATCTTTAGAATGTCGGGATCGACACGAGAGAACACGAGACCAGCCAAGTAGCTGGTCAGTCACATCAGGTTAATCAACCAGAAACAGGTGATTTAAGGGAAAACATTAAGACCTTACTTCCCCACGTACACAGAAACGGAATAGAAGAACGAGGCCGCTTGCTGACATTATTTGGGAAAATCAATTAT